TCATAACATGGTATTAAATAAATTGATACATACAATATTACAAGTAAATCCTTGATGAAAAAGAGCCAATTATATAATAACACATTATATTATAAGTTTATTTGATTAAAAAATTATAAGTGTTAGATGAATATAAAAATTAATTAATATGCATGTTTTATATAAATAGAGTTTTTAATTTAATAATTAAATTTTTTAAAATTTAATTAAAAAGTGAGTTTTTAAATAGATCCTTAAAAAAAATTAAAAAGATGAATTATCCTATACTATCTTTTTATATTAATAATATATTTATTATTATTATTTTTTAATCATTCTGTGCATTTTTATTTATTATTATATTTTTTACCTCACTCTTCTCTTTCTATTGATCATTAAATATTTTTTTTTATTAACCTTTCGGTATCCGATAACCATATTAGATCCCGATTAATTCAGAATCGAGTCATGTATGACTCCATTAGGGGGAAGGTATTTTAGCACTTATTTCTCTATTCATAAAATTCGAATTTGAGATCTTATTTAGGAAAAACTAACCTTTTTTCACTCTGACCAAGATGTCGTTTTGTATTTTCCTTCCACTCGGACCTTAAATATTTTCTACCTACCATAGACAAAGGCCAGAATATAAATAGAAGGAAAGCTTGCAGGTTTCATTTTGTATAGTGACGGAATTTTCCAGGAAACAGGGATTTTGATTAATGACATTTGAAATTTTTTTAATTAATACGGAAATAAGAAACAAGATTGTCAAAGTTTGAATTTTAAACTTTTAAACATCACTACAGTCTTTAATAGAGCTGTGGGCATGGGACGGCCATAGTAGTGGTTGGCATGACATTTGAAATTTGGGTGGAAAACAAGTAACTTTTATATAAATTCCGGTGCTTACTTGCTATCAACCACTGCGTCTCTGGTGCAGGGACGGAGCTAGTGTAGGACAAGGGGGGCAGCCGCCCCCCTAAGCTTTTGAAAAATTTTAAACGTGGTATGTCAATTTTTATTTTCTACAAAATTTTATATTTGAAGTTAATTTAAATTATAGGGACCATTCAAATATAAAAAAAATGTGGGAATTAAGAAATCATTTTTCTTTTTGTGACTAATTTTTATAGACATGCTAATTTTATTTAGGTAAAAATAAATATAGAAAATAGTTAAGATCTAAAGTTTTAACATTAATTATATATGATTTTTTTAGTATGATTTATATTGTATTAAACTAAAGTTCATTTGATATACATAACTCTACCAAAAAAATTATATGTTTATACTATTTATTTAATAATCTTAAATTTTATGCGCCAACCGGACCTGTGACCCAATTGGTTGGCCCCCAAGCTTTAGGGCTTGGGTGAGGCAGAGGTCAGGGTTTCGAGTTCTGCCACCGCTGTGAACTCCACCAACTTGCGACCTAATGGTCGCGGGCTTCAAATGAGGGGTAGAACGTTCACTTTCCTGGAAAAATTTCAGCTGCTAACAAACTAACTCTACTAACTTCATAACCATCTATCTAGTCAAAAAAAAAAAAATCTTAAATTTTATGCTATTAAAAATAATTAAATATATCTAATTAATATAAAACTGGTTATGGATAATATAAATGGCACATGCATAAAAATAGTTTTTGATTTAAAACTAATATAAATTATATTAATATAAATGATTAAGGTTTCATTTATCAGTATTATGCTATATGTATAAATTTTTTTATCTTTTAATATCCTAAAAATATATAAAATATGGGTAAATGAAATCTAAATGACTCACAAAAGAATTTTAGAATTTTGCCCCCCCCAAATCAAATTTTTGGCTCCGTCCCTGCTCTGGTGGTCACATTTTTCTATAAATGATGGCATCCCTGCTGAAGTGCTGTGCTAACATAAAGCGGTTAGTTTATCTTCTATCTTTATTTATGTATTAATTAT